TCTTGAGGGCAATCCACCTTGCGATGACCCAACTCACCGCATCTGAAACATCTTCCAAAATCCCACCAAACACTGACCAGAATGTCGGGTCCCACACTGCTCACACAAAGGCTTTTCAAATTGACTCTGCTTTGCTTATCCTCATATCTTGGCTTCTTATTTTTGAATTGATCATTTTTTTCAAACAACTTCCTATTATATATTTGTTGACGCTCCTAACTGTGCTTAGAGAAAATCAGCTCATTTTCAATCTTTTTGGCTCTCTTCACTAAGATTAAGAATTCACTAATATCAAAAGGTGCCAATGCGAGTCACAACTGATCCTTGAGGCCTCCCAAGAATCTGTAGCACTTCTCCTCCTAGGTGCTAACATAATGAGGTGCATAACGGGACAACAAAGTGAACTCAATTTGTATAGCATAATTGTTTTTGAACCCTGAGTCAGATTGAAGAATTTGTCTTGCAAAGCTAATCTAGTTGAAGTAGGAATGAACCAGCTCTGAATACTCTCACAAAATCATCCCACTGTATGCTAGTGATAAGTATCTATCCAATTTTTTCTCTATGTTGTGTTTTCCACCATCTTTCTGCTTCTCCTTCTAAAACAAATGTGGTCAATGTTTTTTTTTTTTCAGGACAGATCATACCATCTAGGATCTTCCCTATCTTTAACAACCAATCTTTAGCCACTATTAAATCACTTGCACCTTTGAATACTAACAGTTTAAAAGTATGAAATAACTTTAAATGGCAATCCACTTCACCGTCACTTTCAGATCTGGGTCCACTGCTATTAGAAGATTTCTCCATATATGTCATTTTATCTACTATTTATGAGATCAAATGCATAATATCTTGAAGTTTCTTAGACTTATTTCTCTCATTCATTCATATTTCTGTATCTGGCATGGATGACTGATCAATCATTCTTTCTGGAAACTCCTGAGATATAATTATTTGCATGCAGATAGATAATTCATATCATATATACTCATGTCAATAAACATGATCATATTAAAGCTTTAAATAAACCTATTATACAAGAATGTTTATTCTTAGAATAAATGTATGCATAATTATATTCAACATTGATTCAACCTATAGCTCTGTATACATCAGATTCATTATACCTCATCCTACTTCATCGTCTAAATCCAGATGGGGTGTGATAGGATTCGAAGAAGACTAGTTTATCTCTTTTTCCATCTCCATCAATAACTATACTGTAGAATCAAAATCATGACTAAATTGTAGTGAGTGATGGAGTATATCTAAATTTGAATGATATTGGGGGTAGGTGGGGGAAATCCAAACCCCTTGCCTCGATATTTCAGCAAACTAATTTAGCTCTTTTTCCATCTTAATCAATAAAGTATACTTTAGAATCCAATCGTGCCTAAATTGTACAATGTAATGGAGTATATCTAAATTAGAATGACATAATTTAACGAGCACATACTTAGGTCCCTCACTTCCAAAATTATCCACTTAGATTTTTCTATATTACCAAAAAGTAGTTGGATTCCTCTCATAAATAACAATAATAAAAGGAACAAATTGTCATAGCATATGAAATGTTAATATTATTTCAAAACTTTGATTGTGTTTTCTTTTCTTTCTCATAATGATACAACATATCCAACAAGTGGCATTCACTGAGGACGAAAATAGTGATGCCCGGTCCACTGACAATAACTATGAAAATGGTTAACTCAATTTTTTATGAGTTCAAAATCCATTCAAAGTTTAATAGTTATTTGTGTGCCATAAAGCTATACTTTCCACATGCTCCAAAATAAAAAGCATTTTAACCCATGCCAAGGTGTCATTGATAGAAAAGTTTCAAGTAAAAGCATGGGGAATACACATCTTGCATTTTCTTTGTCGTTCCTAGTCATAGTGGCTGCCTATAATAAAATGGAATTTGTCAACAACTGAAAAAGTTTTAATTTGGCAGTTAATGGAAGTAATAGACAATGGATATGAAAAAGCAACAACATCTTGATGTGCTACAAGGCAATAGATTCAACATGAAAAAAAATAAACGCTTCTGCATCATTAAATGCAGTATTTGATTATGATAAATTTGGTAATTAACTAGTGGAACCTTCAAGGAGCAAGCCTTCTTCCATCTTGTGTATTTGAACAAACCTAATTTAGCTCTTCTTCCATCTTGGTCAATTAATTATAATTTAGAATTCCATCATGGCTGAATTGTAGTGAGTGGTGGAGTATACTAAATAATTAGACTGATGTGTTTTATCAAACTCAAATTTGGTCCTTCACTTTTCACAATTATCCACTGAGATCGCTCTATATTTACCATTAGAGTAGTTGGATTCCTCCCAACAATAAGAATAAAAAAATAAATTTTTTTAAAAAACACAATGTTCTAGCATATACACGATGAGATCCTAAAATATTATTTCAAAACAACAACTAGGTTTTCCGATGTTTCTCATAACGATACAACGTATCCACCGTCTAACATTCACTGAGTGGACCAATAGTGATACCCCTATTAAATGACAATATGATGTAGAACTATGATGCTTGAAATGATTGTATTAAGAAATTGCACAAGTTCTTGATTAGAGAAATAACAAAGAAACTTTTAGCAACTAAAACAACGAATCAAAACTTGAAATGGGTCACTTTCATTTAGGCTAAGTTACACATCCAAAAGATTTGAATCTTCAACGTAACGTAGAAAACAACATTATGTCAAATAGTAGTTTTCAACAAAATCCCTAGTCTAAGAATAAGACTAGCAAACAAATGAATGCACTCAAATCCTATGTTTACTAAGCTTAGCAGAATCGGGCGAGCATGTCCTTCATGACTACAATCAACTCACAACTCACAAGAAAAGGTTAGACTTAAGAAACACAAGAGGAGGAGGAACGGAAAACCTTCGCTAAGGACCGGCAGCAATCTTTCACTCGACGATCTCCAATTGTTCTTCAATAGCTTCAACCAAAGTGTCCAAGATGCACTCTATGTCGTCCTCAAATGTGTAATCGACCCTCGGGTTGACGTTGAAGAAGGTTGAATGGAGGATATGCACGAAATCGTGTTCGTCGAACACAAGTCCGTAATCAGTGTTGGGATCGGCCATTCATAGAGGCTAAATGATGATCTCCTCCAAGGGGTGCTAGTAATCTCGAACTGTTTTGAAGAGAAAGAAGTTTTTCTTCAACTTGAAGTGGGATGACAAGGTGTGGCCGGCCAAGGGAAGAGGGTTGGGGAGAAGTAGTAGGTTAAGTAGGGAAGAACAAGTGAAAAATCTGAAATAAATTTCAGATTTTCAATTGGAGGGATTAGAAATTAACTTGAATTTTAATTCCAATAGGAGAAGCTTTAATTTGAGAAAGAAATCAAGAGGTGGGGGCATGGGGGGTTTCGGGCCTTTCGGCCAAGCAAGAGAAGGGGGCAAGTGTCTAGACGCAATGTATTTGGAATTATGGATTTAATTTAATCAATCCATCATGAATTGATTGATTGATTTAATTTAGGATCCTTCCAAAAAGGATTAAGAAGAAATAGGAAAGATTTGAAATCTAGATTGGGTTTAATTTCAAATTCAAATACTTTCCAAAAGCAAGCGGAAGTAAATAGGGAAGGGTGGGGGAGTTTGGAAATAAATCCACTTGGATTTATTGAAGTGGGGCCGGCGGCATCAAGGGGGAAGGAGGGATTAAATGCAAGTCTTAATGCTTGCTTAATTTGGCTTTTAGGAATTAGGAAAGATTTAAATTAACTCCAATTTAAATTTGAAATTCAAATAGAGTTAATTTAGAAACTTCCCTAAAATAGATTTAATAATTTAAGAAAGACTTTAAATTTCAAATTGATTAAATTTGAATTCAAAATCTGTCCCAATTATTCCAATCCAAATTAGGCAATGGAAATCAAAGAGGAAAGGGGGCGAGGGCCGGCGGGTAGAGGGGGATTCGGGTGAAGGGGCCGGCGGCTAGTTGGGATGTTTGTGGAGCTCGTTCGGGGAGAGGAGATGGCTTGGGGAGGGAGAAGGGCTTGGATGCAATGATGGCCGGTGGTGGTGGTGGTGGTGGGAGGGGAAAGAAAAGAGATAGGGAAGAAAACCACGAACCCGACTCGTCTAAGTTGGTGGGTATTACACAATTCTCCCTCTCCTAGGGATTTCACTCCAAACTCTCAAGCTCTCATGAGAAGCCAAACAAGAGAAACGATAATTTTACTTGATCAATCATTAACTTGCAAAGAGCAACATATCGGCTTTAAATAGCCTCTTACATAAGACTCAAAAAATAGAAAAGACGACAACGCCCTTAGGGCTTACATACGACATCCCTTAATAAAAGGGTACAACAGGAAACTAAATAAAACAAATACGATACGACATCGTAAATAAGAAAATACATGAAATAAATCAAAAATATAATGACTCAATCGCGACAGCAGATCGGCGGCCACGCCTCTGATAAACCTTCCATGATCTGATGTCCCCATCACAATAACTATAAAAATGAATAACTAACTTTCTCAATGAGTTCAACATCTATTCAAAGTTTAATAGCTATTTGTGTGCTCATACATTTATATTTTCCACGTGCTCCAAAATAAGAAGCATTTCAACCAATGCCAATGTCTCATAGGTAGGAAAGTTTCTACTAAAAGCATGAGGAATACATATCCTTGCATTTTCTCTATCGTTTCCTTGTAAGAAGCAGGTAAATGGAGTTTATAGTAAATTCTTAACATCTTGCCGCTATAGATTCAAGGCTATAGATTCAACATACAAAAATGTAAAGGCTATTATGCATCATTAGATTAGTTAAGCAGCAGGTGAATAAATTTAGTTAAGGAACCTCCGAGGAGCAGAAGTATATCAAAATCTAACTTATGAATGTGATATTTTCGCCCCTTAAAAAGGATGGTAGAGGTAAGGAAAAGTCGATTACTTGATGATCACTATTTTATGAAACCTGTGAGCTGCTTGATAAAATAAATAAACTTGCCTTGCAAATAAAGAAAATGCAGCACCATCTTTAACTGTATCATGCGATATGCTGGAGAAAGAATCTGTGCAGAACCGAGCACCCAATAACATAGCATCTTCATCTTGATCCTGCTTTAAATAGTTTAAATAATCATAGCAGATAGCAAAAGCAAGTCCACAGGAAAAAAACAAAACATATATATATACATATATATATATATGCACACGTAAAACATAGTTTCAATTTATCTTCCACATAAAAGTACTTGAACGCGCAGACGCCACAAATGCCAATACAGTCAGATAATTCCAATCTTATCCAAATTACTATACGATTATGCACAATATGAGCACTTGCAGGCCTTTTCTTCTTAAATATGGATTTTCCTTCTTAAATCGGAATGAGAGCTTCAAAACACAGCCTTTTTTATAGGTAGTAAGCTGTACAATTAACTTCTAATATACTTTATACAGTGCATATAACCTTCTTAAGCCAAAATCCATATTTTTTAGAAAACATGGCATTATCATCTTATCTCCCTCCTCACTGCAATTAATGTTATTGTCTTTTACCTTCAAACCAGTTAGTATTGACTTGTACTTTTGCTAGTTTAATATACAAAATTAAGTTGATTTTCTACCAAAGAAACTAAACAATGAATATCAGGCCAACATCTCATTTATTTTTGGAGTAGAAATCGGTTGGGAACACCAATTCTTTGCTCAAGCATATATCTAAGATAGACTGAAGGTATAATGCCCAAATTATTCAAAATAATGTAAGCATAACTTCCTCTAAATATTCATTTAGTTTCATTAAAGCCTACTTTTAATTCCAAGCTTTTTAATGTATAGAAGCATATGTAAATTATTATGGTATAATTCAATTGTATATTTGTATAACTATTACATGAATAAATGTTTAATATTCAATAATGATTATTTGAAATTAAAATATTGAAATAAGTTAATTAACTCTTAAATTATGACTATTACCAGTCATTTCATCATTTTATTTTTTTACTGTAGCTTACCGCTTAGCAAAGCATTCAATGGCGGATTTGAATCATGCGGCTGGAATAGGATAAAGAGCAGTTAGTGGAATACTAAATATAATATTATATTAGGAAGTTGCCGTAAGCCTTAATTCACTGCCAGTTCCTTCATATTTTTTTCCATTCGTATTGCTGTGGTTGTCGAGTGCTGAAGCTAGCCGCAAGAAGCTCGGAGGGAGATTGCTGGATTTGCTGCTTTAGGCTGCTATAGAAGAAAAAAATCAGCAAATTAAGGTAAAGAGAAGTTAAGTAGATGCTGTAATTAATGGCTAAACTTGTTATTTAGTTGAAATGAGATGTGGTTTGCTTAAATTAGATGATATTACTAATGTAGGATTACTGAAATCAGTTTGCTAGGCTTGAATTTAGCTGAGGTGAGAGCTAATATGCTCAAATTTGTTGAAAAATCCAACATAAGATTGTTGTAGGCAGTTTTATAGGGCTGAAAACAGATGTATTGCTGAATTCAAGAAAGAAAAGAGGGAAGGGAATGCTGCAGTTGCTGTTTGTTGTTACAGTTTCGTTGATTCCAGCTAGGGAAATAGGAGTAAGGAAACGATTTTGGTGGTTGTTGTTAAAACCAGAAAAAAGTAGAAAAAAACAAAAGCTGTTGGCTGGATTCTGACATGGCTAATTACTAAATTCAGGCAAGAAATTTTGGGTTGAATGAGAAGTTTAGTGGAAATAGTGTACAAAAGGAAAAGAGGTCAGGATACTTCAGGTGAACCAAATTATCCGACTATTCTGAAAAACGAGATGTGATACCCAAACAATGCTATAGAAAATAATAAAAAATTTATATAATTGCAAATTCATATTTGTTATGCTTACTTTAGTACTTATTTCAATTTATTCCAATCTATTCATGTATGAGCATATATGATTCATGGAATATTAACGACAATAGCATATGTCATCATGGTTAAAAGGAATGATATTGGGAAGGTTCAATAAGTTACATATGAGGGATAGTCCCGCACAAGTAAAGGCAAAAGACCTGACGAGGTAAGTTTACAACAACAACAATAACAACAAGCCTTTATCCCACTACGTGGGGTCGGCTACATGAATCCTTTTTCTCCATTGTATCATATTAAAGGTCAACTTCTCGTTTAAATCTAATAAAGAAAGGTCATTCCTAATATTTTCTAACCAAGACTTTTTTGGTATGCCTATACCTTTCTTAACATAAGTCAAATCTAATATCTCTACTCTCCTAACCGGGTATTTGGAAGGCCGTCGTTTTATGTGACCAAACCATCTAAGGCGACTCTCTCTAATATTATCTTCTACTGGAGCTACTCCAACCTTTTCACGTATATGTTCATTTCGTATCCTATCTCCAAGGGTAAAGTCACTCATCCACCTGAGCATCCTCATCTCTGCCACACTTAACTTAGTATTATGCTTCTCTTTTAATGGCCAACATTCAGCACCATAAAGCATTGCAGGCCTCACTACCATCTTATAGAATTTTCCCTTAAGTTTGAGGAGTACTTTTCTATCACACAACAAGCCCGATGCATTTCTCCACTTCAACCATCCAACTTGAATTCTGCTGATAATATCTCCATTTATTTCACCATCATTCTGAACAATAGATCCAAGATATCTAAAACGCGTACTCTTATTAATGCCTTGATCGCTCAAAGTCACAATCATCAGCAAAAAGATACACCAAGTACATTCTTTGCAATGGCTAGTTGAGAAATCCAGACTTAAAGCAAAAAGATATGGACTTAAGGCTGATCCTTAAGTAAACCCAACCGAAATAGGAATAACTTTGGTCAAACCACCTTGTGTTTTGACACAATAATAGCTCCTACATACAGATCTTATATTTGAATATATGCTATTATAACTCTTTTCATTTCAAAACTCTCCATAGCACTTTCTCTTGGACTTTATCATATGCTTATATATAATATTATATGATTTATAAGTTATATATTATTATATATATATATAAGTATATATTATATAATATAGATATATCTTTCTTTCGAAATGCAATCAAATCATAGTAGATCCTCCTTAGGTTCTCTATTACTCCATCAAAACCTCTTAATAAAATGTAGGCCATAGTCGACTTTACCCAGCATGAATCCAATGATTTGAAAACATAGTAGCTCAAGCCCAACCTATGTCCATAATCGCTCCCATAGTTTTAAAGTATGACACATTAAACGTAATTTCTCACTAATTCGCACAATGCTGGTGCATATCACCTTTTTCTTAAAAATAGGAATTAAACACACTCATTCTCACTTCATCTGGCTTCAAAATCAGTATTAAAACAGTTTAGTATACCATAAATTCCGTCATTCTAAGATTTCCACACCTCTATGAATATCATTTTCTTTGTTGTTCTTTTTTTCAGGGTTTTTCCAACCAGGGTGTTTTTTTTACCGCTTCAGTTTCTTTAAAGCCTCTCTCAACTTCGGTTAGAATACGCGATAAAAATAACAAAACTCTTATTTTCATTTAGGGTTCTAAGGTCACCTATAGTCAATCTTATTTCACAATTTCATTAAAAAGATTAGCAAAATATTCCATCCACCTTGTTGAATATCAACTTCTAAGAATAAGTATTTTTTATCTTCATCCGTAATACACTTCACTTGAACTAATCCCTACTACTCAATCTCGGCTTGGCTAACTTATACAAACCTTCATCCTCCTTAGTATCTAATCTATGATATAAATCACTAAAAGCTGAAGTCTCTGGCATCGATATTGCTTTTTTATAGAATCTTAACGAGTCTCTTTTAAAATTCTTTCTTATTACAAATTTGTAAAAGTAAACAATTTAACAACAAATTTTCTTATTAATCTTTTCTTGCAAATTGGATTCACCAACCAATTACCAAATAGGGAGTTTTTCCCTTTGATACTCTAAGCACACTTGCTATGACTTCATATCACTAGCCACTTTATCCCACTATAACATACAGCCTCAGGCACAAAAAAACTTAAGATCTAAAATCTTACTCTCAAAAATATTTTGTGAATATTCTAATGCCCTATCGTCCTAGAAGATCATTGCACTGTATTTTTTATCGCCCTATCTTAAATTCCAAACTAATAATCATGTTGGGTACATAAATTTTCACTCTGCATACTTAAGCTTTGCAATTCTAAAACGATCTAATTTTTCTTATAAGAAAATAGTCAATCTAGGTTGTACTATACCTCGTTATAAGGATTGAGTGCTCACTCTCTTTCTTAAATAATGCTATAGCATTGAAAATATAGCTAAACAAAATCTAATATGATTTTGCACCATTCATTTATTTCCCAAACCTAAGCCAAATGAATTTTTTAAAGTCATCACCTCTCTACTATAACCATGTCCATTTAATATCGCTCCAATAAGAACTTTTTCTTCTAAAGGTATCTTTTATAAAATTCTTCTAAGTCATTCCAAATTTAATTTGAACTCATATCCAAAAACCACTTGAGAAGCATACACTTATAATAATTAAAATCTTAATCCTCACCAACAATCTTTAAAGTTACAATTCTATCTTCAATCCTATTTATTTTTATAAACATTATCCTTCATAACTCATTGTCTATAATAATACCGACACCAGCTAGTACGAAATCCTCACCGAATTACTCAAAAGTTTTTAAATCCTATAACTATCAATTTACTTAGCCTTCTCTTCTAAACCCATTTAGTTTCCTGAATGCACAAAATATTTATCTTCCTATGAATCATAATATCTATTAATTCCATTAATTTTCCTGTAAGGGAACCTATATTCCAAGTTCCTATTCTAATTTTAGTTTCATAAACTAGCTTATTTTCCCACATCCGTCCTTGATGTGGGAACCCTTGCCTATTTAACACTGCACCCGGGAGCCGGTGCAACGGCCCTTGCACACTTGTCGTTGTATTCAGGCCATACAGCGCGTCGCTTCCAAGGGACGCCCTAGCCTTAACACAATTTCTTAAAGGATTCTTGTCATTATTAATCGACAAGTTTTACGTTGATTGTCGACAACCTAACGCATCCCTCCACTTTTCTCATACATGACTTGGGACCTAACGCAACCCTCTACTTTTCT